CCCGCCGGCGGGGGCGGGCCACCAGCTCGGCGGACACTGCAGTCCAGGTGTCCAGGTGTGCGGGGGGCACGGCCACGCCCAGCTGCCCTCCCTAGAGCATTTTCCTGATCTCCCCTGAACACGGAAGCACTTTCCTCTAGGGCTCTTCATCCTGCAGGTGCATCGCAGCCCCCCCTCCAGGGGCAGGGCGCTCCCCTCAGGGCAGCCATGTGGGTGTCTCCCACTTCAGGGTGCTGATGCCCGGGCTCCATCCAGGGACATCCAGAGTCAGTAGACCCAGGGCGGGGCCCAGGAAGTAGCATTTTTGAGGCTCCGAGGAGCTGCTTACCGCCCGTGGGATAGGCGGGCAGTTCTCCAACCCGAGGGGGCCTGAACCTCAGCCCACAGGGCCCCACTCCCCGAAGCTCCACATCGGCGGATCTCAGGGGGAGTCGGTGTTTTTTCACCAACTTCTGGAGGCCTCGGGAGCCGCTGATCTGAGAACAGGTGGGGCAGAGGGGAAGGCAGTTAGCACAGGGCAGGTCTGGGGCGTGACCTGCCATGCTGCACTTTTAACAAGCTTCCGATGGGCCGGATGCTGCTGGCCCCAGGGGCCACGCCTCGAGGGAGCAGGCTGCAGCCCACCTGACAGCCACGGCCTTGTACTTTAAATCGTATCTTCGCATCTTCCCCTCCTCCCGGAACGCATCCTGGCGGCCTCATCCACAGCAAGTCTGATAAACCAATGCTCTCTGCTGGGCTCCCATCAGCTACTGCAGTGCTTCTGGCTCACGTTCCTGCAAACACGAGTTCCCGGAGACCTGATGAGCTGTGGGAACGGGCTCCCCGCCCCAGAGCAGTTTGGGAAAAGCCATGCGGGGGGCTGCGGGGCCCGGGGCCGCCGGCCTGGGGCCCGGCCCCTGCTGTGTGCTGGGGGTGATAGTCTCCCGCTAACGGAGTTCAGGGGCATAGCTCTTGCACCTGTCTGGGCCTGGCTCAAGTGTGCACGGGGCGGGATGAGGCACCGTGCGCGGAGGTCACCGTGTGCTTCCGAAGAGCCAGGACGCGGACAGGCAGTGGGGGGCGGGGCGGAGTGGTCCCCCAGCATGCGGCCTCGGGGCCGCGCGACGACACCGCCGTCTTCTTCTCAGATCGGCGCCCTCTGCACCGGGGCATTTTCAGAGCACAGCGGAGCACATGCCGGGCTCTGGGGCGCGGCTCCGAAGAAACAATTCGCATCCCGTCCGGCCTTCTGAAGACAAAGGCTGGTCTCGGTGATGGGCATTTCGGGACAACAGCCAGGAGCCTGGAGGGGCCTCTGCGAGCTCTCTGTACAGTGACGAAGGGCGAGAAGGGGTCTCTCAGCACCCCGAGCACGTGGCTCTGGAACGGACTTTCCCAGCGTGCACTTGGGCAGGTTCGCGAAACCTCACTGGCTGCCCAGGACCTCTGCGTGACTGCGAGCCTGGAAAGCCCAGCGCATTCAGCTGCACAAGTGGGTAACGCGCTCCTCTCGCCCCGCCAGGCTGGGGATGGAGGCGATGGCGGCTAACGAGAGGCGGGTTGGGACGGACATGGTGTCGCGTTTACTAGTCGCACAGTTACCCGGTGAGAAACCGCACGTCGCCTCGTGCTCTGGGGTAAGGAACTTACCCCGCTCCTCCGAGCCATCTGAAACCTCCCTTCCCCAGGCCCCCGCCGAGCT